AAAAAAAGGAAAAAAAGGAAAAAAAAAAAAAAAAGAGCTTGTGCTAGGCCATGGAAGAATGGCGGCGCTTCAATTATTACGGCAATCTTTTTTTTTTTTTTTTTTTTGGGAACAAATTGGCCCTTTTCCCCCCCCGCCCCTCTTTTTCGGCCAAAATTTTGTAGTTTGGGGTCGACTTTTTTTCCCTCAAGCGCCGCCTCGTTGAGTACAGATCCCAATCCGGACTTTCGGAAAATCAAAAGCTGCACACATGTTCGCTAACATCTACAGGGCATATTCACACCTTTTTTTTTTTTTTTTTTTTTTTTTTTTTTTTTTTTTTTTTTTTTTTTTTGCCCTGAATTTCTTTATCGATTATGCAGGCCAGGAAACGGGCCTGACGTCCCTCACAAATGTTGTGCAGTTAAAAGAAATGAAAAAAAATGTTGTGCAGTTAAAAATAAAAATAAAAAAATCATTGGAATAAAGTAAAATGTCGTGCAGTTAAAAAAATAAAATAAAATAAAATGTTGCGCAGTTAAAAGTAAATAAATAAATAAAATGTTGTGCAGTTAAAAAAATAAAAGAAAATAAAATGTTTTGCAGTTAAAAAATAAAATAAAATGTTGTGCAGAAAATAAAATAAAATGTTGTGCAGCTCCTTCAGTTAACAAGGCATTAAAAAAAAAAAAAAAAAGAACAAGGCATCACAATGATGCCTTGTTTAGAAGAGGGACCACAGTGGAACAAAAAAGAGAAAAACAAAACAATTTTCGACTTAGCTAAAGACGCAATTGGTCAGATACATCCACGTGTCTGGCCGTAATTGCAGTCAGATACATTTACAAAAGTACTTCTTTGATGATTACGCCCTCAGAATTCTTTTTGCTCGACGCAAAAAAGAAAAAAGACCAAATACTGACGTGGCCGGGGCGTATCCGTGATCCGAAAGGCAGACGGCCTAGGTTGCAGGGTCTCCCATTGCACTTTGGGAAAAAAAAAAAAAAAAGGAAGAAAAAAGACCAAATATATACAGAAACAGGAAAACAGAAATACAGCTCACACACAAACACACACAAACACACAAAAAACACACAAAAACACACAAAAAAACACACAAAAAACACACAAAAACACACAAAAACACACAAAAACACACAAACGCACAACACATAGTATGTTGCTGGACTACACAGCAAAATGTATCTCGACCTGCTGGAGGTCGGATACATTAATATGTTCGATCAGTCCAAATGTATCTGGTCTAAATTCAAGTCAAGATACTTTTAGAATGTTGAGTAGTGGAGCGAGGCCCATATACACGGTTTTTGACATAAAAGACGACTAGCTGAACTTCACCTTGAGAAAGGGTATCGCTTACTTTGGGAGAGGTGTGTGTCCTCCTCCATCAGTCAAAAAAAGGCGTCCTGATCAGACTGTCTGTCCAGGTTCAACCTTCTGATGCTTCGACCATGTTCGTCGAGCTAGTCTGTCAGAATCACCCCGCGCGCGCGCGCGCGTGAGAGAGAGAGAGAGAGAGAGAGAGAGAGAGAGAGAGAGAGAGAGTGGGGAAGCCGATATATCACCCGAGCAGGTGAGGGAGGGAGGCGCGCACACACAAACACACACACAC